TATATAATTTTTTATCTTCATCAGATTTAATTACTTTTATTTTACCCCGAACTTTGTGAATAAACTTATTACATATTTTACACTCTACAAACATGATTTATTGTTATTACAATATAAGAAACAATAAATAAAACTTAATTGTACTTCACTACACGCTTTACTGTCAATTATTTTATAAGAATAAAAACGAAAAATATGTAACGCTCGATACTTTACATGCGTACACAATAAAAACAAGTTAAGACGTGTTTATTGTTTGCGCGGCGAAGGTGACCATAGCAAACAATCGACAGCCTCAAAGAGATTTAACTTTTAGTAGACTATAGAGGCCATTGAGAATATTTTCATAATTCTGAGTTTATATTTATTATAAATATTTTTTTATATTTTAAGATTTAAAATAATTGTTCAATTACTTAAGTAACTAGTAAAAATAGGATTTTGAACGACGTGTCTCATTGAAGAAATTAAAACTTTCCATAGATTTGAAAAGTTGATGTTTTTAATTTGTGTGTCTCAAAAATGTAAAAAGCTCATACTTTTGAACTCGAAAGGCTTATTAATAGGTAAATTCGGAAATGTTTTGAGGTTGAAATAAAGAACAATTTCAGAGCTGAGTAACCGGGTCAGGCACTTTTCATATTTACTTTACTTAACTCAAAAAGCGCCTTTTTGATATTAATCCAACTTGCTGCAGTGAAAGTACATACCCTAAAAAATACCTACAATTTTTTTGGTTGGTGTAAGAATATTAGAACATGGAAAAAAAATTATCAAAATAATTTTTTATTTTTTTTGACCATTTAAAAACATGTAAGGATGTGAAAAAAATTTATAATCGCTGAAAAATGCTTCAAAGATTGGCGTTGGTCCCATATTTTTATCTATTATAGTTTTTGAGAAAAATTATAACCTTTGCGCGTTATCTCAAAAATCGTTTGAGAATCAAGGCCAAAAGTAGTATGCATCATGTTTTCAGAGTGTGCTAGTATTAAAACTCATACTAGTTTATGTAATAGTCATGGGGGCGATTTCACCATACTTATCCGGTGAGGCCCTTTATTAAAAATTATTCTAAAATTGTCATTCCCCTTGCTATATGTTTAAAGAAAAATACATGATCCCTTGTATTTAGAAGCAATTAACGAAATTAAAGAATTAATTACAAACGCTCCAGTTTTAGCTTTTCCAGATTTTAATCCTTAATCGGTCACAAGATACAGTTACCTACTGTAGTATCCTATGCCGGTCAAGCAACATTTAAAAGGCATCGGGCGCGGTATCCTACAAGATACAAGCACAATTCATTCTGTGAAGTTGGTTGCATAGCTCATTCAGATCTCAGTATCTATTTTGAAGGTTATTTAGCCATGGCGGCGCACAGCAGCGGTAAGTAAAATATTACTCTTTTACAATAACAATTATCTAAAATTAGTTGCATTTATGGAATCACGTAAAATAAATGATAAATGCATGACTATTGATATTTTGTTCCTGAAATTTTAGTTTTTCTGTTCCGCTGCTTATGCAGAATATTATGTATCTCATAGTACACATTGCCCGACTGAGAATACATTTCCACTTTTTTTTAGGAAATTTCTACACGAACTTTTTACGGGAGGAAAGCATCTTCGTTAGTTGTATTATTACCTCCTCTTGACCCCACAGTATCAGATATTGGCGAATCTTCCAGTGACGAAGAAATTATTGACGAGGACGTAGTTGAAAGTGCGTCCAATGCTGAAGACGCAAGAGTTTTACCTGTAGATGATTGGGTGGATAGTGATTCCAGTTGGAATCAGAAGATGACAAACCTCTGAGACCGAGCGTACCAATTGTAACTGTGGGAACACTCGGTATAGCAAGAAACATTTATATTGTGTATCAATTAAGCCTCTGCATTTGTGCTGACTTAGTTAGGCCACGACACACTGCGACTAACTAGGTCAACGGCAGTTACATACACAAGTGTAAAGTGCTGAAATGTTCTTTGTCATATAATACCATGTAAATATTTTTGTATAAATACCGTGTAAATATTTTTGTATAAATACCATGTAAATATTTTTGTATAAATACCGTGTAAATATTCAAATAAACTAGTCTAACACCAGGCTCACTATTATTCGGATGCTGACAAAGTGTCAACCCTTGGAAGCTGTGATTTTGTGCCAATCATCAATGATGCAGAAATGTGTCCAACGATATTATAAAATCGGTTCTTCTCAGAACCACAACTTTTGATAGTCACCTCTTACTACGACTACACAAGGGTGACTACAGTGGTGACCCCCCCACTATTTTATAGTGCTCCCGTGTGTGTTATCTAGCATTTCTTGTGACGATATCATCAACTTGTGATCACCGATAAAATTTTCTCGCAGAGAAGTTAATTTAATTTTAAAGTTATTTTGTTTCCTAATTCAACAGTGTTATTGTGCATTCTATATCTGCATTGGGCAATTGACCTTCTTGACTTGTAATATGGCTATAGTGAAGCCACGTGTTCTTTCTCCCCGTGTTGCTACTGCATCGGCTACAGCGAAGCCCAAAGATGCAAAAAAGAAGTCCGCCCCAAAATAAAGAGAAAGCCCCCCCGACCAGAGTGAGGTCTGCCCGGGGCAATCTCATCAGCGCTGGACTCTACAAAAGGCTAGAGCAGCAAAATAAAGATCGGGAGAGTCTTCGCCAAGAAGACAATCTCTACGGTCTCACCACCAAGGAGCTGATAGCGAAGTATCAGCAATTTGTGGAGGCGATGGTACAGATACCATCTGGAATAGCTGCGATCAATAAAATGATCACAGAATACTACGCTTCAAGAAAGAAAGCGTATCAAACCGGGGAGAAGCTTGGAGAGCTCCCTGGAAAGCTGGCTTGCCGCTGCAAGTTGGCTGAATGTGGTGAGTGCCAAATTAAAGCACTCAGAGTGGAACTGGTCGCACATAGACGCGAACAGTTCTCTCAGGCGGAGAAGATAAGATCTGTTTTGGTCAATTTTATCCAACAACACTCCGCCATTAGAACTGCGACCCCGCCCCCGACAACGAACGGATGGACAGTGATGAACTGCGACAGCCGAAACAGTTATCCCAATTGCCGCCAACGAAGGAAGGCACGTCGTCGTCAACGTGTTCTCTTGCGCCAGGTCGCCCAACTGCAAGTTTTAACTCCAAATCCGGCGTCTGGTGAACCGTCTGATCAGGACCAATATCTCCAGCATCAACGTTTTCTGCGTGAGTTGTTCAACTTATTGGAAAACACATACTCACCCTTGCTGGGCGTGCCACCTGCACCTATTTTACAATAACAACTTATCTGCTGTCACTCCTTTACCCCTATGGGATCCTCGCCATCTAAGGAAGTGCAACAGGCTCGCCCTTGGTCCGGAGCGATTGTCTACTTTTCATTATAATCACGTTACTAATAATCAGCCTACTTTGGACTGCTTACCGTGAGTACCGGCGTCGTCCACATCAACACATAAACAAAAAGGTTCCCCAAGCCAGCCGCAAACTGTCACGCTTCGTGCCATCCGACCCCGAATTATGGTTATGCATGGTGGAACGAAGCTTTGAGGCCTTAGGGGTCACATCTGAATCGACAAGATTCGGGTATGTATTAGGCAATTTGGATCCGCGGTACGCAGCCGAAGTGCGTGACATCATCATTATCATTTAATATGTTTTGCAGATTACCGTGTCTGCGAGTGAAATAGAAGCGCTTTTAAATACAAACACTTCGCCCGAAATCGAACTAATGAACGATGTAGTTGATTGGGAAAAGGTAATATCACAACCAGATAAAATAGAATTTGGTTGAAAACACTAATCTCTGTATAGAACACAATTTCCAGCGTTTTTTCAAATGTTTTGCTTTTTAGGATCCTGTCATAAACCTTAAATCACAAAGTAGTTCTTCTGAAACAAATTTGGTATTTTTTTCATAGTCATGAAATGGTTTATTTTTAATTTTGATTTTTTAGCAAAGTGTTTATATGCCTTCCACTGATCGAGATTCTAACCGTCAAGAAAAATTAACACTTACATATTCTGAAGATGTACTGGTAAAAGTTTCTATTGCTACTTTATAGATAATCGATAAACAAACAACACTATTTTTGAATGAGCTCACTATTGTGCATTCGAGCTGGTAATTTAACTAAACCTTAGTCGAGTGCAGGACATTTCATTGAAATACGATCAATGATTTATGAGATAGGAGGATTATGTAACTAATTAAATTACCAAAACTTTTAAGAAAGTTTACTGTAGGAACACAATCATCACCTGAAACAATTATTACGTTCCTAAAACAAATTTTCATGAAATGGTATTTTATTCGTAATATTATGGATAAGTTTCAAAAATTGGTACCTTCTGTTCTCACCATTTTACAAGAATGTTTCCATTAAAGACATTTTATAGGGTATTCTGTGTTAACTTTTTAACTATTAGGTTTTATTAGAATTCATAGCGGCGATTCTAACATAACCGTTCATTTCGACCATGGTCCATAAAGCCGAACCTTTATTAACTCCATTTTGGGTCTTAGGTTTTGTTGAATTTTTTTTGTTGTTTAACTTGTGTAATTCTCGCCTTAATTTTTCAGACGGTGATTGTTAAACCGCTCGTTTGATATCATTAATATTAATTTTCTTTACTTTAAATGGGGCGCGGCGGAAAAGAAAAGGTTAGAAGCGTTCGAAATCTGGTTTTACAGGCGAATGATGAGGATACCGTGGATAGAGAAGGTTAGAAATGAGGTATTAGAAAGAATAGGAGAACAGAGAACTGGAAGTCAATAATAAATAGGTGAGATAGGTTTGTAGTACACCTTGTCAGGCATGTAGGTCTAGTCAGAAACATATTAGGTTAGGTTACTGTTGGCAAATAGTTAAGGATGTGGGTTGTTTTAGTTTTAGGGAAATGCCAAGATTAACTTAAGATAGGAAAGGGAGAAGGTGCGTGTCCAACCAGTCGTAGGACTGACGACCTTATGATGATGACTTTAAATGTACAAAATTGTGAAAAATTAATGCCTCAATGTTCCCTTTTTTAAATGTTGTCTACTTTTGATAAACACATTGTTTACAAAATAATTAAAAAATTAGTTTTTATCGGCTTTTTAAAATTTAAATCCGTTTCATCAATGTATAGGTCGCGATCCATTTCTATCAATTTCATTTAAAACAACAAGGACTGATATTTAATTTAGAAAAGCTATTTTTTTTAATAAATTGAAAGTTGAAATCAAAGCGAACATTTAAAAAGAAGTCCATTGTGATAATTCAAATTTTTAATAAGTTAAAGACAATATAACTATGCATGTTAACAACGATAAAAGGAAAAGCTCAGTAGATTATGACTACTCTATATCTCGGGAAGATCGTCAGGTTCGGATTAAAGCATAAATGAAGTTATTTCAAATAGATATTCAAACCAAACGTTTAACAAATACAATAAATAAGCTTTAAGCAAATAATAACTTTTAATGGTGATCAAAAATATACGACCAACAATATGCCCTATTTGTTTCATTTCAGTAGGCATCTTATTCGTCATCATGCTGATCTTAAAGACGTTAAACTACTGAAGACTTTGAAACCGCGGAGTAAAGAACGACTTGTGATGGTGGCAGCTCTGAGAAAGCAGGGTAACTTTCACCTCAAGACAGAAAAGGGTGTTTTACACCCTGTTAGAAACTCCGCTAGTTCAGACACAGAATATTATACTTGCACGTATTGCCTAGGTCATTATAGTAAAACTTTACTACATAAACACGCAAAAAACTGTAAAAGTAGGCCACCGGATTTAAAAACTGTTAGACAGAATTATCTAACTCAATCACAAACTTTTATGGCATCAGTAAAATGGAAGAACCAAGATTTTCTAAAAGCATCCCGCATCAAATCGGAAGTGTTTAGCATCATGCGACCAGACAATATTAGCTTTGTAGCAAAAACTGATCAGTTGATTTGTCTTTATGGAGAAACGCTCCTTAATAAACATAAAAGGCAGCAAATATCAACTGTTGTATCTAACAAAATAAGGGAGATGGCGCGACTTTTGATTGTCGTAAAATCATTCGACAATGAAGTTACTTGTTTATTTGATCTCCTCAAACCAGATCGTTTCCAAGATCTCATAAGAGCGACGAAAATTATCAGTAGTTATAACATTGAAACAAAAAGTTTTAAATCACCATCTCTTGCACTCCATATGGGTACTAATTTAAAAACAGTTTGTGATGTTGCTTATAAAGTCGTGCTACAAAACATGTCACTACAATATTTGAAGTGGTCAAACAAGGAAGAAACAAAACAAAATATCAAGGAGCTGCGACAATTAATAACATCTCATTGGTGCAACGAGCTATCGAGTTTAGCCTTAAAGGACATTAAAGAGAAGCATTGGGAAAAACCGGTGCAACTGCCATTAACAAAAGATATAGAAGCTTTCCAATTATATCTTAACAGTCGTGCTGATAAAGCATACGAAAGTTTGGCTAAAATTGGACAGTATTCTAAATTGGACTACAAAATTTTAACTGAATGCGTCTTTACATTGGTTGTTATGTTTAATAGAAAAAGAGTAGGTGATGTCCAATACCTTAAAATTGATACATATGAGTCTACTAGTGGAACACAAATACCAGAAACGTTTATGGAATCGCTTACCACTGTTGAAAAAGTTTTAAGTCAAAAATTTAAACGTGTGGTAACTAGTGGTAAGGGCTCTAAGCCAGTGCCGATACTATTTTCGAATCGACTCCAGAAATTCGTATCGTGCTTACTCAACGTAAGAAAGAAAAGCGATATTGTACCTAAATCGAATCCATATTTATTTGCCAACCCCGGATCGATAAACAGATGGATCAGTGGTACCAATGTAATAAGNTAAAGAACGACTTGTGATGGTGGCAGCTTTGAGAAAACAGGGTAACTTTCACCTCAAAACAGAAAAGGGTGTTTTACACCCTGTTAGAAACTCCGCTAGTTCAGACACAGAATATTATACTTGCACGTATTGCCTAGGTCATTATAGTAAAACTTTACTACATAAACACGCAAAAAACTGTAAAAGTAGGCCACCGGATTTAAAAACTGTTAGACAGAATTATCTAACTCAATCACAAACTTTTATGGCATCAGTAAAATGGAAGAACCAAGATTTTCTACAAGCATCCCGCATCAAATCGGAAGTGTTTAGCATCATGCGACCAGACAATATTAGCTTTGTAGCAAAAACTGATCAGTTGATTTGTCTTTATGGAGAAACGCTCCTTAATAAACATAAAAGGCAGCAAATATCAACTGTTGTATCTAACAAAATAAGGGAGATGGCGCGACTTTTGATTGCCGTAAAATCATTTGACAATGAAGTTACTTGTTTATTTGATCTCCTCAAACCAGATCGTTTCCAAGATCTCATAAGAGCGACGAAAATTATCAGTAGTTATAACATTGAAACAAAAAGTTTTAAATCACCATCTCTTGCACTCCATATGGGTACTAATTTAAAAACAGTTTGTGATGTTGCTTATAAAGTCGTGCTACAAAACATGTCACTACAATATTTGAAGTGGTCAAAGAAGGAAGAAACAAAACAAAATATCAAGGAGCTGCGACAATTAATAACATCTCATTGGTGCAACGAGCTATCGAGTTTAGCCTTAAAGGACATTAAAGAGAAGCATTGGGCAAAAACCGGTGCAATTAACAAAAGATAGAAGCTTTCCAATTATATCTTAACAGTCGTGCTGATAAAGATTACGAAAGTTTGACTAAAATTGGACAGTATTCTAAATTGGACTACAAAATTTTAACTGCATGCGTCTTTACTTTGGTTGTTATGTTTAATGGAAAAAGAGTAGGTGATGTCCAATACCTTAAAATTGATACATATGAGTCTACTAGTGGAACACAAATACCAGAAACGTTTATGGAATCGCTTATCACTGATGAAAAGTTTTAAGTCAAAAATTTAAACGTGTGGTAACTAGTGGTAAGGGCTCTAAGCCAGTGCCGATACTATTTTCGAATCGACTCCAGGAATTCGTATCGTGCTTACTCAACGTAAGAAAGAAAAGCGATATTGTACCTAAATCGAATCCATATTTATTTGCCAACCCCGGATCGATCAACAGATGGATCAGTGGTACCAATGTAATAGGTCGCCTTGCTAAGGAATGCGGGGCTGAAAACCCATCTGTTTTAACTTCAACAAAGTTTAGGAAGCATATAGCTACTACTTTGCAGCTATTGAGTATGGACGAAAACGATATGGAACAAATTGCCAAGTTTATGGGTCACACACCTAAAACGCATGCTGAATTTTATAGGTACCTATCTCAATATCTCATTCTTTTTAAATCGAGTTTAATAGGTCTGCTAAACCATTGAAATCTAGAAATAATAGAAAATAAAGTCGGCTAAGTGACAGCGAAGTTGCATATTTCTTCATATGCTGAACTCTATTTTACTATATCATTTATCGTTTTAATTTTAGATTGCCGCAGGATATTTACCAGACGGCAAAAGTGGCAAAAATTCTATTACTGTTGGATAAGGNGAAAACCCATCTGTTTTAACTTCAACAAAGTTTAGGAAGCATATAGCTACTACTTTGCAGCTATTGAGTATGGACGAAAACGATATGGAACAAATTGCCAAATTTATGTATGGGTCACACACCTAAAACGCATGCTGAATTTTATAGGTACCTATCTCAATATCCCATTCTTTTTAAATCGAGTTTAATGGGTCTGCTAAACCATTGAAATCCAGAAATAATAGAAACTACGAAGTCGGCTAAGTGACAGCGAAGTTGCATATTTCTTCGTATGCTGAACTCTATTTTACTATATCATTTATCGTTTTAATTTTAGATTGCCGCAGGATATTTACCAGACGGCAAAAGTGGCAAAAATTCTATTACTGTTAGATAAGGGAAAAGGTCACCAGTTTCATGGAAAGAATATAAATGACATTGAGCTGAAGGATGACATCTATTACAGTTCCGAATCTGAAATCGATGATGAAGAAGATATTCCTCTTTCGGAACGTGTTCTAAGACAGTTATCAAAAAACCATACAAAAGAAACATCTCTTCAAAGTGATGCGATAAATTGTTTGGATACAACTTTAAAGGTTACAGAAAATACATGTAAAGAGAAGAGTAGTGAGACGAAAAATAGATGTATAGGAAGAGGCAGGTGTGAAGAAAGGGTTGTTCCTAAAAACGATACCGATCGAATTGGCCAAAGTAAAGGTAATATATTTAAGCACACTTGCTTTTTTTTTTGGATACCTAACGCATTTCCATATTCAAGGAACTGAAGGAAGACGCAAATGGTCTGTACAAGAAAAAAGATTAGTCTTAAATCACTTTAAAAACCATATCAAAAAGCATATTACTCCAAAAAAGACCGAATGTGAACAACTTATTCTACAAAATTTAGAGATATTAAAAAATAAAGATTGGGTAAGAGTAAAAACTCTGGTATACAACACTTTTCGAAAAAAATGAAAATGCTTATTATATTCTTCATTTATAACTGTTGTATAAATTTGATTTTTTAAATTGTTTTTACTGTATGATTGTTTTGTTTAGCTGTAATCTTTCTTTTGGTTATTTTTTAATTTCGAATGGTTTTCTTTTTATTCCAAATATATTTTCTATCTTTATCCAATAT